TCGAACCCACAGCGGTAAGTGGGAATTTGTTTGAAGTCTAAGACCTTCGCCATTCGGCCAGGGACAACCCTGGTAAAGAATGTATCATTGGAATGAGAGAAAAAACTTGCCTAGGACATGGAATAATGTTTATCAATCAAACAAGAATAATAAACAAATGTACCATTTTTAATGTAAAATATATTTTGAACACACTAGTATTGAGGGTAAGGTTAGTATTAGAATTTGCTGGATAAGAAAAATACCCATGTCTCAGCTTCAACAAATACGCCAGAAATTGTTTATTTTTATGATACTATAAAACAATTCAGGAAATAATGTGATTTTTAATTTCTTAGAAATCCAGGCTATACATTATCTAGCACGTTATGTATTATCGATTAACTTAAAAACATGAATATTGTAATAATTCATCATTATTCATCAAACATCTGTTCTGTGTCACCTTGATATGACATGAAGCACTTGTGTTTGCTGATAAATACGTAAAATGTTGTTCAAATAAATGTAAACTTCTACATTTTTCAACACATAAATATTCCGTTTTGTATAATTAACATGTAAATGGCACATCACTGCTAAGTTATGAAACATTTCTATTGACCATTGGATTACTTGTCTATTAATATTTGTGCCATAGTTTGTAAGGTTAGCCCTACTAGTGTTTCCTTCTCTAATATATGCTTTTCCGACATCTTTCCCGCCATAAAAAAACATCGGCCAATATCGTAAGTATCGGCTATTTGTTTCACGATCTTCAGTATTCAATTATTTGTAACCGTTTATAACCAGAATTGAGAACAAAGCGATTGTAAATAATCTAATGACCAAGATTTTGAGGGGAAAAAAATCTTCCGCAAATTACCGAATTGCTACGATATTGGCCGGTGTGACTTTATGGCGGGAAAGCATTTCAGTTGTCACAGTACTTTAATCAGGGTTGAGCACAAGCTTCGACTCTGTCAAATTGAAGTAGTATCATTAACAAATATTCTCTGTGCAAGAAAAATGCGTTATTTCAAAGTTTTGTATACATGATGTATATAACTTAAGCTCAACTCTAGCTTAAAGGCACAGGCCTCCAAAATTCATTAAAAAAATACATGTGTTTATTAATGTTATGATAATGGTTAATCCACAATCACTGATAATGGTTAATCCACAGTCACATACATTTATTATTCATAAAAAACATAAGAAGCCACCAAGAACAAAACAATTTTATTCGTTCTCAAAATTTGTATGTCAAGTCTAATTAACATTCATGTGTATTGTTTTTAGATGATACGAACCGTTTTATATTTAAACACCATGAATTTAGCAACATGTATTATTGTTTAGTGAAACGAAATGAAAATAAAACAAAAATGAACACGAGTATGAAAATATAAATATGTAATTAAAAATAGTGTTCTAATGCTAATAATGCTAATGTTATAATAAATATAAGTGGAAAAGTTATTTTAAAATGTGAAAAAAAGTTGAAATGAATTTGTTTTTGTGTTAAAGCGAGGCTGATAAGCTGCAGTATTACGAGATTTAACTATATAAATGTAAAGAAAATCAAATAACTTCTGCATTAATCTTTATGGTGATTGCATGTAAAAGATAATCATCATAATTGTTTAATCGATTTAACAAGATATCAGGGTTTTCTTATTTTTGATAGCGTCATTATACAACAGCTGTCCGGGCATAAGTATTACAAATAACGAGCTGAGCTATAATTGTGAACATTATTTTTCTGAAATAAGGACATTAAAACTAAAGGTTCGAGTTTAATATTATTTTATCTAATTGTTCAAATGTTGATTTTCAGTTATTTTATAACGTAATTTAAAAGTCATTGCTACTCGTAGTATAAGTTATATTCGTTCGATTTATTTTGTTACTATTGAATTATATTTATTAATTAGTGGTTTCCTACAAAGATAAAATATATGAGCCGCGTCTTGACAAAACCAACATAGTTCGTTTGCGACCAGCATGGATCCAGACCAGCCTGCGCATCCGCGCAGTCATATCAGGATCCATGCTGTTCGCTTACCAATCCTATAACAAGTAGAGAAACTGATAGCGAACAGCATGGATCCTGATCAGACTGCGCGGGTGCGCAGGCTGGTCTGGATCCATGCTGGTCGCAAACGCACTATGTTGGTTTTGTCATGACGCGGCTTATATGTATCAAAACAGCGTTTCGGTTCTATCGTAATCTTTTTAACGTGCAGGGTTTTTTAAATCCCTTCAGCGTTTTAATAGTAATTATAAACTGCTGTATTACTTATACTTAATATGTAACTTTTGATACTTTCTTAATACAATAGTATTAAAAATCTGTTCACGCACGGTCAAGTAAAAAACGAAAATGCACTGAATGTAGTTCTCAGTTTTCGGACGAGTCGGAATTCTTCCTATGTTTAGCTTTAAAAAGAGAGAAAAGGTGTATAATAAACAGGACCTTCAAGTTTTTTTCTATAAATATTGGATTTATTTTCATCTTGTTGCATAAAAATTATCATATTTCACTCGTGGCTACTTTCATACAACTGGATGATTATAAATATTTGTAGAAGAAACTTGAATATCCTCTATTTATCTTCACTTAGCATTCAATTAGAATTTAATTCCCGTTATTCAGTACAAAAAAATTAAAAATGTGTCTGCTAAACGTACAACGATATTCTTAAATAAGATATAGCCAGGGCTGGGAATCAGAAATGCGTCGTATCATTTCGTAGAAGTAATTATTTTCTTGGAAATTAAAAGTCGCCTTTAAATGAAATATAAGTAAATGATGCAAAAGTATAATTGGATGTTTGTGGTAAACTTTGAAACGAGTATAATATTATCATTTTGTTTGTTTGAAAGGGAAAAATGATGGATACCGCAATATGAACTGCGCCGTACAAAAAAAATTCTGGCCCGCTTTAAGTTGCAAGTTCGCTATAACTTTTGTTAACAAAATAGTTGTGCTAGCAACATACCAAATAAAGCGGTAAATTGTGGAGCATGTTAATACATATATCTGGTTTTCAGTCATTTCCAACAAAAATAATAATAAACAAAATCATACATTTTTCATTCAAAGACGGTGGCTTAAGTCTACATATTGTAAGAAATGACACAGTTCTGATTCCCAGCAAGACAGTTTGCCCAATTAAGTAGGAACGGGAAACAGCTAGAATGAATCAATGTCATATGAGGTCGTGACGAGAGAAGTGCAAGAACCCACGTTCTCTTAGTTGAGTGACTGACATTTCTCAATTATAGTTATCCTAAAGTGAACTCGTGTTTATATGTGTGTATGAACCACTGTACTTATAAATTCCTATAATCGCATAATTCCCATAATCGGATAATTAATTTATGAGGGCCTCATGGAAGATTGATTTGTTTGTTCAAATGAGTTCTCTCGTTAAATAAAGTCTTTATTATTATTATTATTATTATTATTATTAATATCAAAAACGCATAATCGCCTAATAAATTTAATATCGCATAATCGCATAATTCACATATCCGCATAATTAATGTAGTCGCATAATTGACCTTATTAGCAAAATCGCATAATTCACATAATCGCATAATTAATATAGTCGCATAATTCACATAATCGCATAATTTATTTAATCGCATAATCGCGTAATTAATATAAACGCATAATTGACGTAATTCCCATAATTCACATAATCGCACAATTAATATAATTGCATTATTCACGTAATCGCATAATTGACATTATTCACATAATCGCATAATTAACATTATGTACCTAATTTACATTATCGCATGATTTATATAATGCACATAAGCATATAATTCACATAATGCATACTTCATATAATTCACATATTTTATTTAATCACATAATTCAAATTTTTATAATTGCGTAATTCATATAATTCAATATCACATACGTATAAACTTCTACATATAAATAATCTATATTGTATGTATATATTTTAGAAGTTGTGAACATAAATATCCTGACTGTTGTGACTTGTACAATCTATTACAAAAAATGGCTCAAGTTCTAAGTGCACTTGTACTGTTGATGATGGTATGTTATGGAACTTATTATATATTCATAAGTGCATTGACAAGTAAACTAGTTACGTAATGGAACGAGGCTATCTGTTCTGTAGGAGAGGGGCGTAACCCTGGGTATTAATAATATTGCCTATTGTTTTGATGCTCTTTCTCTATTGTATCATAGTCAAATATAAAAGCACGTTCTCTGTTGTCACAATACGTAACCCCAGAAAAAAGGTAACCAGTGAACGAGCATCTGAATATGATATCTGTTGTCACAATGTGTAAACCTCAGCAAAAATGAGCCAATCAATGGGCATACTCTAATACCAGCACTCCAGTTAACACACTGTGCATGTGTATGTATACAATTTACCTTTGACACATTTTCAACAGAAAGGTCCACAAACTATGTTACAAATAATTGGTTGCATCATAGAGTGGAGACATTTTACCATTGAAAACGTGTCAGAGTTAAAACGTATACCAATACATGCACTGTGCGTTAACTGAAGTACAGGTATTATTTACTCGCACTAACTGTCTGCCTAGAGCATGCTCGTTGATTGGCTCATTGTTTCTGGGATTTATATATTGCGACGACAGGGAAAGAGATATCCATACAAAAGTCATATTCAGATGCTCGTACATTGGTTACTTTTTATGGGGTTTAATATTTTGACAACAGGGATCATGCTTTTATCTTTGTCTATGATTCAAAAGAGAAAAAAAAATCATAACACTCGGCAATATGATAAATACTCGGGGGATACGCCCCTCTCGTACATATCAGATAGTCTCGATGCTTCTTCTATTACTTCAATTTGAGATAGTTTCGAAGTATATTTGAATGTTTTGTTGTTGTTGGTTTTTATTATTATTATTACATGTATCTAACTTTACAAAAATTATCTCGTTATATTTGATTGTACTTTTACATTTTGATGAATGGTATGTTGTAATTTCAAACGATTATCCCAACCGTGACAGCAAACGCAGATCAATGCGTGGGCAAATCGTTCTTTCAAGTAAGTTGGCATTCGATTCATTATAGCTTTTTTCTCAAGATTTCTCAAGCACGCGTGTTTTAAGATGGAAGTATAATGTAGCATTCATCAGCTAAGACTAATTGATCAGTATTTCTATGTTGATAAAAAACAAACATACATGTACAATAACGAGTGATCAAATTCTAGTAAATTGGTAATATATAGATCATGTAAATTAAATTGGCAAAGAATAGGATCTATTCTTATAACATTTTATACCCCATACCCTGTCAAACAAGCTATCCGTAAACCTTATCAGAAATAATTTTGATTCTCCGTTGAAAATCGTATTCTAGATGATCATTTAATAATAATAATAATAATAATAATAATAATAATAATAATAATAATGATGATGAAAAAATAATAATAAGGTAACATATAAAGGTATACATATCTTATTTTAAAATATGGCCTTCAATTTAGCAAAATGAAGAAATCCACAAATATGTACACACATATAAAATAAAACCTACAAACATTTAAATCGACAGACACATGCATTCATCCGATTTATTAAAAATTGTTTATGAAGAAAATATTTGTTTCATAATTCTCTTAAAACAAATAGAGACGAAGATTTTTTAATACATAAATGTAAATCGTCTCATATAAATTATATACTTGTTTTATTTTTAAAGTTTTTTAGCATATTTTGTTTTAGGTCTTTCATGAAATTATGTTTCTAATAGTAGTTGATCTCACAATATATGTTTCATTTTTCGAGAACACTAGGATATTATTAAATCTTATCTTTATTTTACCTTCAGCCTTGTGGAGATGGTGGTAGATGTGTATGCCCGAACCTGAATAAAATCACCGAACTTAATCCTAGTAAAATAAGGGTGTGCTCGGTTGACACAAAATTCGTCTGCAAAAGTAAGTAATACGCGTTTCAATTACTCATTTTCATATACAACATATTATCATATCAACGTATTGCGAATAGAGCTCATAACATAATTTCAAGTAACCCAGAAAAAGAGGTTACCACCACGTTTTAATGTATGCTACATGTGGACGCATAACAGCAATACACTTCTTGCTAGGGTTTAAACATTTTTTTGTTATTCTCATTTCATTTTGAGTCGCATGGAGTCGAGGTCGCACGCGAACAGGCGAAAATTCAGCGCTATTATCGTTTAAGCGTTTGTGTAATCAAGAACAGAAGACTCATTGCAGCTTATATATACTTTAGACATACATTTGCCCATCTAATCAGTTATACATACATCTGCAGAAATAATTGAAAATATTTGTGTCGGGTTTCTTGTCATACCAATCTTAAAGTTGTATTATTTTTTCCATGCAGAAGTTTAGTTCTTATAATTCAATATTTCAGATTACTTATAACAAATTACTTACTTCATTTTCACATTTTCAGGGCCAGAATGTTTAAGTGTGAGCGGCAGATTTGTAGATCCTAAAAGAGATTTTTAGCTTGAGCCGATACCGATAGACGAAGACGGAGACGGCTAATCTTTTAAGGGGGCGTTTCAAAATGATTTTTTTAAAAAGAAAACAGAAGGCCAGGCCAAATATAATAATTGCATTTATTTCTATTACAAAAAGCCGTTCACATGTGTTTTCTGAATATCTAATTTGATTCAGCAGAATATTTCTCGACATCAAGCTGGTGAAGCAATCTTGGAACTTTGTTTTTAATAAAATCGTTGTAAAATAATTGATTTTCCCAAATAATGTCAGCAAGCGGCCTCGTTCTTCTTCTCTGTTTCTGTGTACGTGGGGAGTAAGGTTATGTAACAAGATAACAAAAAGCAAAAGGGTAAACCGATTAGAGAAGCAGAATATGAATTATAGTGTGCAAAATTACAGATTTAATATTTTGTTGTGTTTTTTTCACCTTCTATTTTACATTTGATATAAATCATCGACAAATATTAGTGTTACATTGCCCATGTGAACTCCGTGAGGGAAATTTCGCTTTATATGAATAATAGATTGTGCACTGTTACGGTACAAAAAGATAAAAGTAGTTTACGAAGTATGGCTAAACTTATTTCAACACGATTTTTTATGTCACATCAAAATGAATATTAAAACATTCCAGGCATAGATCTATATGTGTCTTATTTTAGGTAACAACGGACAATGAACCAATCAAAGTAATAAGTAACATTTTACCGGCTTTGGTTACGGCTCCCCCGACATCACCAATTATTTTGGACTTATTTGCATGATTTTAGAACTCATTCGAGCACCGCCTGACCCGATACTAAATATAAGTTATATTTTATTTTTGGAATCGTTAAAGACAGTTTAGTGGCAGAAATGTGTTTTCTTTTATCTCTTTCAAGTGACCGGGGGAACTGCTGAGACATTTTTAGATCTGTTCGTGTTTCATCATACAAGCCTCTTATACTTCTTGCAAGAAAAAGAGTTCTTCTTGTGCTTATGCGGTTTCGAACATGCCAGAAGTTTATGATGCTTTCGTTATTGTTCAACATATCAGTTCCAAGTGCAACAATGCTATATTATCCCGATTTTCTATCTACGTCTAAAATATTTGTCGTTTCGCCACAGGTTCATGAGTAGTAGTTCATAAGTAGTTAGCCAAGAGAGGCACCTGGAACAGAATTTCAATAGCCGTGAAAGCAATTGATGGAACTTCTTATGGACTCAGTAGCCCTATGCATGAATGAAACACAAGAACAGTTTTATTCGGGCCATCGAATATAAGATATATACGAATTGGGTTTCCTGGTCACTATTACCATGCCCAGCAGTATTACTGTTACCTCACATCGGCATTAATTTACCATTTTCACAAGAGTGCGATAAGATTTATCCGTCTTATGCCCATATTATGACACCATACACGTCAGCTCAAATACGCCGTAAATAGGGGCCTAAACGGAGAAAGTGCCTAAAATTTAAAAAATAGTGAAATGCTGTGTACGTCTTGAACACGCTATATAGCAGAGATTAAACGTTACAGGCCAAGTTCTAGTGTATGAATAAATAAACAATTGTATATATTTGTACTTATCTTACTTGCCATAAAAAGGTTATAGCACTTACTGTATTTAATTGAATGATAAATAATTTGAGATGACCCCCGAATATTATAACCGTTGTTCGTCTCCGGCTATCGTTATCCGTACAAGCTGTAAATCTCTAAAAAGACGGCTAACGGTGATTACCTGCATTGTAATGATGACACAGAATGTGGAAACCATTTCAAGTGCACGTTTAATTTGTGTTGCCCCGTGTATCAGGGAAAGTTTTCTCGAAAATAATTACGGAAACTTCTCTCATATCCAATAAACTGACCGGAATGTAACAAAAACTCTAAATAAAATACTGTACAAGCATTACTTTATATTTTGTTGTTTTCTCTCTATTTTATCACCACATCAGCGTTGTTTGTGCCGTGTGGAGGCCGTAAAAAGTCGCCCCGTACATTCAATCAAGGGTGTTATATTTCCGATCCTTATACTGATCGTTTAGCACGACAATATTGTTGCATGCTTGTGGTGTTCTATTAGTTGTTTCTATTCGGCTATTTTCTAGTTGGATGGTCCCAGTATTCCTCACTTAAAAACCGTTTAGTCCCCACTATGATATTGGCCTGCATTTTGAATTTGTCTTTTGGAAGCTTATCTCGGAATATCTGTGATATGCAGGGTTCATAACCTTTGATCCCTTTTCAACATTCCTTCTTATATAGTTTCGCCCATTGTTTTCTCGATTAGGGCACACGCATTTTTTTCTCTGGGATGTTTAAAACTTCAAAATTTCTTGAATGTATTAACATGAAATGCTAATTCGGTAATATCTTTACAAATAATGTTGTTGTTTTTTTTTGGAACTTACAATATTGATAAATCATCATTTGAGCATCGTATTTATGATATAAAACCATAAAAAATGAGATACAGGATCTGTCATTAGCAATGCATTGTGAGTCTGTAAATATTTTTTTCTGTAAAACATAGTTATTATGTTTTCATAAATCATGATAATTTCTAAGAATACAGTATTGGGTATGTTAAAGCTGCATTCAATAAATTTTATAAAAACAGAAATAGCGACATTTTATTAATAAATTGGGTTTATTATCGACTCCAGATCCTACTTTGGTGTCCGGACAACCAAAATGAGTTTCATAATCATAAAAATCTGCAACCTCATTGTGGCGAAATCGGAAGTACAATTTCTGTTTGCATGACAAACTCCGCCTTCGGATCATTCGTACATCAGTATTGAATAAACAAACATGGCTATAAGCACATGTAGTAGTCCTACGTTTACGGTATATTTCTGCATTGTAACGGATGTTGTCTTCAAATTTAATCTTTTTTTATTAGATGATCACTTTTTTTCTGAACGCCTGGCCTAATGTACCGTGAGGCTGAAACGGTTAAAGTTTTTTGCACAAGTTCCGGAAAGCAACTTTAACACTGTGACGTAGTGCATACACGAGCTGATTATATATAGCCTTCTTTTGCACGTTAAAATTTGTATATGAACTTTAGTGTTGCCATGGGGTTTTCCATTTAAAATCCTAATTTATGAACAATATTTGATGAGATTTACAACAATACTGTTAAAAAGGTTAATGAAACTGTAGAATGCTTGGTTTTTAGGCCAACGGCAATATATTTTTACATATTTATTTAATGCAGCTTTAAAACTTTATTTGTCATTGCAAATGAAGGTGTACTTCCATGTGGACATATTATTTTATAAAGCAGGACATTAAAACTTAGATAAAGTCCTTAAGGAAATGCCAACATGTAAAAGCAAACGAAATAAATATTAAAATATTTGAATATGAAATCATTTACTTAAATCTCATCTTAAGGTTTAATTCTTTAAGTGCTAACAAAAGCCTAACATGGATTGAAGTTTAAGAAAATTTTACTGAATATATTGAATTTTCGTAAAAGAATGCACAAACTATGTTTGGGAAGCTGCACCAAGTTTTACTGGGCAAGTTAATTTGGAACTTTCTTTAAAGGAACTCCATTGAGGTCCAATAGCCAAAATAATAACATTTGAAAATCTTTCATCAATCATCTACACTGTAGTGCACTGAAAATGGAAAACAATGCAATAGAAAATATGTAAATATACTCTGCACTAAATAAATAATCGGCTTTTTATGCGTTTTTTCGGCCGGTTGAGTAAAAAGCTTGCAACGCTTTTCATTTTGGGGTCAATTTACGCAATAAAATTGATTGTTCAAAAAATGTACCAGGCAAGCGGATTTAACAAATGATCTAAAATTTTGCACACGAGTTATCGGACAAGACCTTCATACTGTTATACAAAAGTCCTAAAAAATATTTTCGGTCCCTTCATGTAAAAAAAAAGTGGAGTCCATTTATAGAAATGTCAGTTTTTTTAATGACATTATTCACTATCCAAACTGTGTTTATCTTAAGTCTGTACAGTGGAAAATATAACATAAATTTTCTGTGTGTACTCAAAAGATATTTATTTTATATTCTAAGATACCGTGTAACAAGTGTCAGTAATTTAAAGAATCAAACTTGAGCATTATAGATCTTTAATTATTAAAAAAACAAACTGTTTGACTGGTATCAGTTCCTAGAAACTGTCTTTCCAACTAAAAGTAACAAAATGAAGTAGGTTTCTCAAAAAGTAGGACAGTTACCTATTGTTTTACAATAATTTGTTCCCTTTACCATGCAACCATCCTTTTTAATTAAAAAATTCTCAGCGAAAGTCTGTAATTGCCTCTGCTGTTGGAAAACAAATTGCACTTCTCCCACAATTGTCTTTAAATGATCACTGCACATATGCAAACAAAACAAATTCGAACAACACAAATCTTTAACACAATGTATTCTAAGGGGCTATCAAAATATTCTTTGGTAAACACCTTGGTATCATACTAGACACCCTATTTAGCTAAATAAGATTCTTGTCGGGTACCAATATTAGACACTCAGTAGCTAAATCAGTTTCTTGTAGGGTATCAAGCAATAGCAATAAACCTATACTGTCTTTAAGCAGACGAAAATCTTCCTAGTGTACTTTGGTTCCCAGTGTCCTTTGGTTCCCAGTGTACTTTGGTTCCCAGTGCACATTTGTGCCCAGTGTAAATTGGTTCCCAGTGTACTTTCTATCCCGGTGTCATTTGGTTCCCAGTACACAGTGTCCTTTGGTTCCCAGTGTCCTTTGGTTTCCAATGTTCTTTGGTTTCCAATGTTCTTTGGTTCCCAATATCCTTTTGTGCAAAATGTACTTCAGTTAATTAATTGAATCACTCCCTTCTTTTAAAGTGATCACAGTAGCTTGTGTTTCTTTATATTTGATTGTATTGTATATTGAATAATGTCATCAAACACACGTTTCATCCCTGGTGTATCTGTAAAAGTAAACAATCAAGGTCATGGTCACTTCGAAGTGTGAGTCAAACGTGAATAAATTAACATATCAATTTTGCAGTAAGTGTAATTTTGTTGTTGTTGTTTTTTTGTTTTTTTTATCGTGAATACATGACTGGGTTATCAGAATTAAGCCAGCCAACTCAGGTGAGCTAAAAATCAGAAAAAAAATCAAAAGTTTTGTCACGGATTTATATCACATGTAATATAAATCCGTGGTTTTGTTCATAAGTCAAAGCAATTTATGAGTCAAGGTCAAGTTCAATCTGGTCTTCTTGAAGGTCTTGTCCAAACGGTTGTTGTGTTTCAGTATGAAGGAAGTCCATTTAGAAATAATAAAAAAATATGACTAATGTTTAAGTTTGCAGAAGGCAATGGCACCATGACTGTAGCAATTATACCTCGATTCTTTGTCTTCAAAAAAGTCATGCTCAAAGTACAATTACTTTGTGAATAGTTGTTGTAATTTTATATTATTTTGAAAATTGATGTTGCATGTAAAGACCTTTGAAGTTCAAAAAGAGCCTTATTCTGTGTCACATATCATAAAGTTTCTGGCTTTATACAATGGCCTTCTACTTTGATTCCAAGTAAGTTTTAACAAAATATCATAAGAGGTTGATGATATAAGATTTCGCTGAAGCACGCATTAAATTGCAAAATTATAACTTATCAAAATGTAAATGAACTTATCCTATTGAAATGTACTTAAAGATTGTACTAGACTGTAAAAATATTTAGAATGTTAAAGATAAAAAAAAACACATGGTAAACGAATGTAAAAAATATGTAAGATGACATATAACATTGTAAGTTAACATATTATCATCGTAAAAGACATCATGTGGCGTTATGTTGCATTTGCTCATTTTCGGAAAATTGGTCATATTACTAACAAGTTTTCCATGAAAGCAAATGAGGATAACCACAGTAACAAACATACAAAATATCAAAAGCTGTTAAATCAAATTTGAAAAAAAAATGCCGTGATAAACTTGATAAAGATATTAACATCATAAGTTATGATGGCGACCTACCGATGGCGCATGTGAAATGGGGATATATTGGTCTATTTTCCTCGGTTTGTACGGCAAGAAACAAATTCTTCATGAAATGACAACCAGCCTCTACATCATTGTCGGGTCCTGTTTCAAATATAAACATATCAATATATATAAGTAACATGTTAACTTTATATTACTCCCCCCCCCTCCCACCCAACCTTTAATTAATATAATTAATTCACTGCCGATAAAGCTAAGTGTCTGTAATATTAAATTTACGGTACAAACTACCAATATTATGTTTGCCGATAATGCTAACCATCCTTTATATTATATTTACGGTATTTTATAAACAACAATTTAACAATATTGCGTTTGTCGCATTCTTTTCATAACGTTACGTCATTTGTTTATATGTTTAATATTGTTTGTTCAAATTTTGGCTGAAGATATGCTAAAAAAGCATTGAAAGCGCTACCGAAAATATTCAAAATATGGAGTTTGTTATTTCTTATTATTAAAATATTATTATTTTATCGATATAAATCATTGTACATATCAACATATATATAAATCAACATTGAATTTTTTTATAGAAGAAAGTCGATATACATATGTTTTAGTATTAATCAATTGTTTATTCTCTAAAGTATAACATTCCATTATATGTTAGCTATGTAGCAATGATTTTTTTTTTCATTAAACAATGAGAAGTCATGAACAATAATTACATGGTTTAAAGGGACTAAACCAAGGTTTTTTTTACATACCGAGACTGGAAATAATTTTTATGATTAATGTTCCATTTGATAAGGGTCTAGACCAATACGAAATGTATAAAAATATAGAACCAGCTACCTAATTACTAATCCGATGCTGTATCAAATAAGCTAAACGGGCGTATGCCACCGGACGTCTTTTTCCAACAGTATAATTTGTAAATTGCCACATGACCTTTACAGTGTTGACGTGATATATTTTCAGGTGATTTTCTTAAGTAACAGAATATAATACAGATAAAAATGACATGAAAATGTTGTTTGAACCAAACGTAATGAGTGTCAACACGTTTATTGAGGGTCTGTTTGAACTTACTGAAATGAGTATCAATTCAATTTGTTGGGGGTTCTGAAATGAGTGTCAAAATAATGTGTTGGTGGTTCTGTTTGTACCCATTGAAATAAGTGTCAAAACAATTTGTTGGGGGAGGGGGTGTGGTCTGTTAAAATAATTAGTTGGGGGGTTCTGATTGAACCTATAGAAATGAGTGTCAAAATAATCTGTTGGTTGCTCTGTTTGAACCCATAGAAATGCGTGTCAAAATAATGTTGGTGGCTCAGTTTGAATCCATAGAAATGAGTGTCAAAATAATGTGTTGGGTGTTCAGTTTGAACCCATAGAAATGAGTGTCAAAATAATCTGTTGGTGACTCTGTTTGAATCCATAGAAATGAGTGTCAAAATAATGTTTTGGGTGTTCAGTTTGAACCCATAGAAATGAGTGTCAAAATAATGTGTTGGTGGCTCTGTTTGAATCCATAGAAATGAGTGTCAAAATAATGTGTTGGTTGTTCAGTTTGAACCCATAGAAATAAGTGTCAAAATAATGTGTTGGGTGTTCAGTTTGAAGTCATAGAAATGTGTCAAAACGATTTGTTTGGGGCAGGGGGCGGGTGGTCTGTTTAAATAATTAGTCGGCGGTTCTGTTTGAACCCATAGAAATGAGTGTCAAAATAATGTGTTGGGTGTTCAGTTTGAACCCATAGAAATGAGTGTCAAAATAATGTGTTGTTCTGTTTAAACCAATGGAAATGAGTGTCAAAATAATCTGTTGGGTGTTTCTGTTTGAGCCCTTAGAAAAAAAAGTGTATAAATTATTTGTCGGGGGTTCTGTTTGAGCCCATAGGAATAAGCTTCAAAATATTTGTTGGGGGTTCTGTTTTAGCCCTTAGAAATGAGTGTCAAAATATTTTGTTGGGGTTTTGTTTGAATCCATAAAAATGAGTGTCAACAGGATTTCTTGGTGATTTTATTGGAACCAAGGGAAATGAGTCCTATAGAGTTTTAAGGTAAGTAAAAGCGAATATAAATAATCTACAATTCTTTTAATATAAATTATCTTACCAATATATTCTGGAAAGTGGTCATGAAGGTTGTACTTTTTAAGTTTTTCTTTGAAAAGGTCAATCTTGTTCAGAAACAATACAACACTTGTTCTAGATACCCATGGGTGTAACACCACTAATTTAAACAAATCCACCGCCTCTCCAACTTCATTCTGAAAAACAGAAATACAAAGTGTCGCAAAACATTATAATAATACTAAGAGTCAAACCTGTCCTCTACAATGAAATTTAATGTACTTTGTCAATGACCTAAAATATTTTCTTTCTTTTTTTGTTCAAAATATCAAAAAAGCTCAGCTGTTAAGATGGAAACATAATCTTTGTTGGGTTACCAATAACAAGGCAATCCATTCATAATTAACAAAATTAAAGCCAATTATGTAAGAAACCAAGCAAAAAATTGACCTTGAAGGTCAATGTTTTTAATGAGTCAATGCCATTTTCAGTCTGGTTATCTTGAAAGTCTTGTCCAAAAAATAACAAGAGCTGTCACAGGAGACAGCCAAGCTCGACTAATATAATACTGGACGCAGTAAGGAGGACAAAACTATGAAAGAAAAATCAATTATGTATAATTATGTATTAAGTTATAGTAAAAAAATAACATTTGTTAAAATAAATTCCAAGATCAAGGGAAATAATTCTAGAAATAGTCATGCTAGAGTTATGAACCTTGTCACACAACATGTATGTAATGATAAGAAGTATATATTTGAAGTTTGAAGTAGATTCCTTAAAAAGTAACAATGTTATAATATTCCTTAAAGAAAATCCTAAGTTCAAAGAGAGATAAATCTGTAAAAATTACTTCAAGAGTTATGAACATTGTCACATAAAATATAATTGATTATAAGGAATAAGTATTTGAAGTTTGAGGTAGATACCTTTAAAACTAAAAAAGTTTATAAAAAATAACATTTTTCTAGTAAAAAATCTAAGTTGATGGGGAGATAATTCTTGCAATATTGGTGCTAGAGTTATGAACCTTGTCACATAAGATGTGGATGATGATAAGGTACATTTATTTGAAGTATGAAGTTGATCCCTTTAGAAATAAATAAGTTACAGTAAAAAATAATATTTTTTAAAATGAAATTCTAAGTTCAAGGGGAGATAAATCTGAAAATATTGGTGCTAAAGTTATGAACCTTGTCACATAAGATGGGGATGATGATAAGGTACATATATTTGAAGTATGGGGTTGATCCCTTAAGAAAAAAAAGAAGTAACAGAAAAAATAGTATTTTTTAAGGAAAATTCTAAGTTCAAGGGGAAATAAATCTGAAAATATTGGTGCTAGAGTTATGAACCTTGTCACATAAGATGGGGATGATGATAAGGTACATATATTTTAAGTATGAGGTTGATCCCTTAAGAAATAAAGAAGTAACAGTAAAAATTAGTATTTTTTAATGGAAAATTCTAAGTTCAAGGGGAGATAAATCTGAAAATATTGGTGCTAGAGTTATAAACTTTGTCACATAAGATGTGGTTGATGATAAGGAACATATGTTTGAAGTTTGAAGTTGATACCTTAAGAAATGACAAAGTTATAGTGAAAAATATTTAACTGCACCAAAACTTTAATCTGAAATCTTGACGCGGACGCCGACGCTGACGCCAGGGCGAGTAGGACAGCTCTCCATATACTTCGTATAGTCGAGCTAAAAACAATAACAGCCAATATTAAAAGTTTTTGGAGCGCAAGGTGCCAACGTGAACAATCAATATGGGTTTAGCAATAGCTAAAGTTTTTTCTTCAAAAAGTGGAGCTATGTATTAGTACAATGGTAAAATCTTAAAGGTCAACAAGATTGGAAAAATTGAAAAAGAAAATGTAGAAATGCTTTCTATGGAAATTTCAATGTTACACAGTCATGTGTTTTATAAGTCAAGGTCAAAATGTATTTATATTCTTTAAGACATTGTCCTAAACATGCAGGTATGTGGCGTCCGTGGCAGAGTGGTTAAGGTCGTTGACTTCAAACCACTTGCCCCTCACCGTTGTGAGTTCACTTCCAAACAGGGACTTTGGAATCTTTCATGTGAGGAAACTATCCAGTTAGCTTACGGAACATTGGTGGTTCTACTCAGGTGCCCGTTTGTGCCTGAAATAATGCACAGAAGGGCACCTGAGGTCTTCCTCCATCATTAAAGCTGGAACGTCGCATTATATGACCTATAACTTGCCTTTGTGACATAAAACCCAATTAAACAAACAAACAATAATATGTATTTTGTGCGTTATGGTTACTTAAGTAAAGGATTAATAATGAGGCCTTGAACTATTAAATGTAAAGCGTACATGACACATAAAGAAAATCATATACTCACTTCAGCGTCTGAACCCTCCACTGTTTTCTCAAACACACTTATATCTGCTACATAAAATATCACATGAATAGTTTGAATAAACTGAAACAAAAGTTTTCTACAACGGAAAGTGTGCAAGTTGAAGCCTCCCATTTCTGTAATTCTACAATATAACATAAAATAAATAATTAGACGGATAGATTTATGAATGGAAGTTTTGTTACAGTAAAAATGGCAGAGTTCCCATTGCCGTTTTAAAACTTGAACCGTGATCATAATATATGCAGTCTATAAACAAAATTTGAAAAGCTTTCAATAATTCAAGAGTTACATAAATGTTTTATCACATAAACTGCGGCGCAGGAGTTTAATAAAGCCATTTAACAAAAACTATATTACACTAGTGTAATAACACTTTGACGTGACATCATTTGCATTATAACAAACATAGCGTTAAAGCGCGCTAATGTTAGCGTTACACTATGGGCGCGTAAAAATTGATTTAACAGTTTACTGTTCTTATTTTATATATGTGATAAATAAAATATTATATTTGTGTAGATTCAGTACTAAATTTATTGAACTCATTGAATAAAACAATATTATGCTCGCCAGAGGCTCGCATAATATGATTTTATTCAACTTGTTCAATAAATTTAGTATTAAACTACACTCATTCAATATCCTCTATATCTAATTTATCAAATGTTTTTTTTTTTTTTTTTTATTTATTTTCAATTTTTTTAACACAATACAAAACATTTATGCATATACATACAACATATGAGATAAACGCTTAAGGAGGAATAAGAGATTACTTTTTAGAATCTACAAAGTTTATAAATATAATAAAGGTTATAATTCAATTATAGTATTTTAACAGAGTTGACAAATTTTTAATACCAGACTTATTTTAGTATAACCAAAAGCCAAAGATTCATTTTCGGAAACTTTACTTTTTCAATATTACAGAACTTATTTGACATAAAGGAGAAATTCCAATTTTACATTTAACTTATATTGAGAAAAAAAGTCATTAATTCAAGGGAAACAACTCCTACTATCTTAAAATTGATATCCATTTAAGAGTTGCACATCTTGTCATGAATACTTTATGCATTTATATCATGAGAAAGATTAAAAAAGACCAAATGTCATTCAAGGTGTTTAAAAAAAGAAAGATACAAAAAGGGCAGTGGGTGCAATACAGAGTGAATCAAGCCTAAATAAATGATCTTAAAACATTAGTCTCAATTAGGCAGCAAAGAAATATATTTTCCCCATAAATTGTCAAACTTTGAAACTTTATTTTGCTTTTTTGCACTATATAATTGTGTTCTCAAAAGAATAGCGTCATAATTTTTAAAAAGTTGAACGCTTGGAACTGTGTTCTTTATTTGCATCTATAAAGAGTATACTTTCCAAGCAGGATTAAATTCAATGTTGCATTATCTAAGTGTTCATTGCCTAGAATAATATATGTTAAGGACCACTGTGTGTTAACATCTGTACATTTTGAATTTATCCATGATTTTATATCTTCCCAAAAAGAAGAACTTGATTGGCAATCCCAAAACAAATGTTTTATAGTTTCAATATGATTGTTGCAAAAAGAACATGTATTAACATCTTTTATTCTCATTTTATGTAAAAGATAATTTGTTGCTAGTATCCTGTGATTAACTTATACTGAAACCATTGTAAATTTGAATCCTTTGTTATATTAAAAGGGAATAGTTGTGTCATCAGCATATTGTGATAATAAAAATTCAGAATTACATGTATTAAGTCTGATACCTTTTATATTTGTGTTATTTTTCATGAGTAATGCAAGAATTTCTGCACATAATATGAAAATGTAAGGGGATAGGGGATCGCCTTGACGACAACCGCGTTGTATTTGAAACCAATCTGACAAATTTCCATTTATTGTAACACAAGAATGAATGTTTTTGTAAAATAACTTTACCCAACTTATGAAATTTTCACCAAAATTGAAAAATTCTAAAACTTTATGCATAAATGTCCATGATACAGAATCAAAGGCTGTTGCAAAATCAATAAGTAACAACATTCCAGGAATTTGATGATTATCTGTGTATTGCATAATATCATAAATAAGTCTTAAATTGTCACCTATGTATCTTCCAGATAAGAAACCAGTTTGATCTTCACTTATAAGTTTATTTAAAACAGTTTTAAGGCGTTGGGCAATACTTGCTGATGCAATTTTGTAAGAAACATTTAATAAAGAAATAGGTCTCCAGTTTTTAATATAAAATTTATCTTTGTTTCCTTTAGGGATGCATGTTATAACCCCTTGTTTAAAGGTATCTGATAATTCTCCTGTAACAAAAGCTTGGTTTATTGATCTACTTACAAAATGACCTAAATCATTCCAAAACAATTTAAAGAAAGCCGCTGTAAAACCACTACTACCTTGGGAAGAATCATTTGACATTTTTTTTTAAACTGGCTAACATTTCATTATAAGTTAAAAGACCATCAAGTCCTTTGCTTTCTTCATCATTCAGTTTTGGTATGTTATTATTATCAAATAAAGCAGTAAGATTGACATCATCTGTTTCCCTTAAAGTATATAATTTTTTGTAATGACCAGCTACTTCTTGTAGAATTTCTTTTTGATCTGTAAGCAAAGTACCTGATACATCATATAAAGAATTCATTGTTTTTGAGACATAATTTCTGTTTTCCATGTTACAAAAATATCTTGATGGTTTTTCCCCTTCTGAAATCCATTTGGCCCTAGATCTTATAAAAACACCTTGCATTTTCTTATTTCGGAATTGAAGTAATTCTTCTTTTTTTTCATCTAAAATCTGGACATTAATATTTGACTGTCTTTCTAAATTACCAATTTCTATCATTAATTTTTCCTGAGTTTTGTCTTCTTGTTTTTTTTATAAGATGAGTATGAAATAGTTTTTCCCCTAATTTCTATTAACAGAGTTTCAAAAAATAGTTTATCGTCTATTATAAAACTTATAAGATTATTACTTATATTTTCTAGTTGTACCTCTGTTTCTTGGGCCTCAGAAGCATATTGTAATTTGACCTGGGATATAACGGATTTAATTTCATTAACATACTGTGAATCTTTCAAAAGGGAATTATTAAATTTCCAGTATGAAATACCTTTTTTAAATTTGCCAAATTGAATACTTATAAAGAATTTGGAATGATCTGTTCTATAACCTGGCACAATGTCAACACTACTCAAATCTGTAAAAAGGTTATTTGAGATTAAGAAAAAGTCAAGGGTTTCTTTTAAACCAAGTATACTGCCTTTTTTCTAAAAATTGTTCCCTCCAGCAGTCAATTAAGTTACATTCAATTATCATATCTTAAAACAACTTCCCTGGCCTTAGGGTTATTTATGTTTAAATAATTAAAGTAGTCCATATTAGGATTTAACACCATATTAAAGTCTCCTACCATTATACATGGGTTCTCTAACTGTAAGATTTTCTCTTTTATATTGTTGTAGAAGATAGGGTCATCTCTATTTGGTCCGTATATACAAATTAAAGTGATATCAATATTTGAAATGCATGCATGTATAATAAGTAAATTACCATTTTGATCTGTTTCAAGACTTTTAAATTTAAAGTCAAAATTGTTATTAATAAAAATTGCTACTCCTCTGATTGACTATTATATTTACTGAAATAGCATTCATATCCCCACTGTGAGCGGATAAAATTAACGTCTTTATTAGTAAAATGTGTATCTTGTAAAAAATATACATTGTATTTTTTCCCTTTTAGGTAATTTAATACATCTTTTCTTTTTTGGCTATCCCCTAACCCCTGAACATTCATTGAGACAAAATTTATATTTTCAGTCATCATGTCAATTAATCCCTTAACAGTAATAATGTTTTATACAAATAAAAATTTGAAGAGAAATTTACCAAAATTTTACTTTGAATCTTGAAACTACAAAATTGGCCTATGACAAAAAATGTTTATGTTAATTAACAACTACAAGTACATGTATACCTACTTCACAAACATTCATTACTCTCAAGGAAATATTTTAGAACATACACAATGTGACAATCTAAGGGAGGCAATCACACCAAAATGCAATTCAGAGTTACCAAACTTGAAGCTTCAATTGTACAAATATTACCTAAATTTACCTGAACAAATGGCCTTCCTGTTCAAATACATATTCCTGTATACCATTAGTTGGTATAAAAACTCTCACAATGTCTTGTTTAGATGGTGAGTAACCAGGTTCAAAAACTCTATCCATATCATTCAGAAAACTGTAAATGTAAATATTAAATCCTTTTTTGTATTCTGTAACAATATTTAAATTCAACTACATTGTATAAGCCATCTGAATTTGATAAATGGATTTTGCCCAGCTTTGAATGTAAATAAATTCTTTCTTTAAAGGGACTCCACTGAGATTTTTTGTCATGACTGGACTGGAAATAATTTTTCAAGATTTTAATATGTTTCATTTAATGTATGTCTAGACTTATCGTAACTTGTATACAAAATTTCAGATCATTTGCTCTCACCATTTTCCAGAATAATTAATATTCAATGGTGAAAAATAATCCGAAATTGAAATCTTTCTGTTGTAAGTGATTCAGATTATCTCAGTGGAGTTCCTTAAAATATAAAATCTGAGCTATTAATAGTATACAGTCTGGTCAGACTGCATGGATGTGCCAAGCGAGCCTAGCTCTACACAACCAGCAAAGGCTAGTCACTTCTTTCTTTTCCTGCTGCAGGTTTATTACATATACATGACAAACCAACATAGTGCGTTTGTGACCAGCATGAATCAAGACCAGTCTGCGCATCCACGCAGTCTGATCAGGATCCATGTTGTTCGCTTATAAACCCTACTACAGAAGAGAAACTGATAGCAATCAGCATGGATCTTGATCAGACTTGGCAGATGCGTAGGCTGGTCTGGATCCATGCTGGTCACAAACGCACTATGTTGGTTTTGTCATTGTGCAGCTCATATATATATATGCACATCTTGTCACCTAAATTGTACATGTACATACTATATAGCTGAGTCAGACACAGAAACCTCCCCACTTTCTAAACAAGTCTGTACACCTCTATCATTCCACAACAGTTTTATAGCATTGGCAAGTTCTTCTGATATTGTCTCCATATAAAATGTGTCCACAGAATGCACCCGCTTGGCCATCTCCTGTAATATGAGTGAGTTATAAACATGTACTTAATCAAACAAGAAATGCCACAATGCAACAAAACCAGGTTTTAAATGCTCATGCTTCACAGGAACTCAATCATCAATTGCCCTAAAGCATATTGTCAGCATTTTACAATTTGAACATATATCAATCTGATATTATTGCTTTAAAAGTTTCTAAAATCAAAGAAAAGTTGCAGTCACAAAAGAGTACAAGTATCTTCTATATGTGTAAAAGCTAGGGCTGTTGATGATGAGGCTTCTGTAAAAGTTTGAGGAGTGTTAGTATGGCACTGAAGTGTATTTCTCTGTTTAAAAAAGAAAAAAAAAAACACCAAAAAACAAAGGGCAAAAATTCCGCCCAAAATATTTGAATGATAGAACCCTGGCAATATGCGCCAGGACACCTGATAACAAAGCTTCTATGAAAATTTAGTTAAAATCGCTTGAGGAATATAGTGGGAGATGAGAACGGAAGTGTATTTTTCTGTTTTACAAAAAAAGGACCAAAATTCTGCAAAATAAATTGAATCACAAAACACTGACAATATGCACCAGGACACATGATGAAAAAGCTGTGACAGTTTAGTCAAAATCACATCAGAGATGTAGTTGCAGCTGAGAACAGAAATGTTAGAATCACAAAACACCGTCCTTGAGAAATGTCATGAATGTAGGAGTTGTGCAAATGAAGGAACTGTTCATGCCACCATATCCCCATCTAATAACCAGATTTTTCCTTAAGAAAACCTGAATAATAAATATAAGTGAATTTATAAATAAATAATGACCATAATGTCTTTCATAATTCCTTTAAAAATTTGTATACATTTACTTAAAGAAAAGAAAAATCCTACCCGTGAGCACAGAAGGTGGTGGGGGGATGGGGTCTATAAACCAGAAATCTCACTACATTGTATTTTCATTTCTAACCATATTAATTCATCAGTGAGGCATCTACAGCTGAGTGGCTATGGTCATTGACTTCATACTTATTGCATCTCACCACTGTGGGTTTGAATCTCAACATGGACTTTGGATTCTTTCATGTGAGGAAGCTATCCAGCTAGCTTACGAATTGGCGTTGGTTCTACACAGGTGCATGTTCCTGCCTGAAATAACATACAAAAGGGCACCCAAGGTCTTCCTCCATCAGTAAAGCTGAAACATCACCATATGACCTGTAACTGTGTCGGTGTGACATAAAACCCAATGAAACAAACAAACAAAAATTCATCAGATTTTCTTACCATTTTCTCATCATCTTGAAATTGTATGTTGAGTACCTTCATTGAATAAATCAATGCCTGAATGGTCTGTACAATGTCCTTATAAACATGACGTTTGAAATAGCCAACCTCATCATCTGAATATTCATCTCCATATATTATTTGTAACTGTCTAAAGAGTGTAGATTTTCCACTGCCGGTTTTTCCTGTAAAAGAAAGGAAAAATAAAATAAGATCTACAAAATGGATAGTATACTTATAAGCCATAAGTATGATATAATTGCACCTTCTGTCAATAATAATAATGATAAGATTACACATTAATATCCAAGAAGTAGGTAATATGACTAAACAACATGTTCACTATTTTGACAATGAGGTCTGACATAATGTCTGTGCTGATATTGTGAATATCTTATAAGAGCAAATAACTGCATCAATCATTTGTCAAACTTTTTTCAGTGATTACCTCCCTTTAGCAAATAAAATTGAGACAATATAATCTAGTAATTTATATTTTAGAAACGAGAAGTATCCTGTAGTTAAAGCAGTATGTCTTTAAAAGATAATGCTTACAAATTGTACAGACTACAAATATTTTACAATCTCTCTTCAAATACATATTTTCTTTCCATTTTATCATCTTTAAAGCAGCACACCTCCAGATTCATGTTAATTTTCATTACAATTTTGGAATAGTATTTAAAAGTACAATATTGTGAAATGAACGAATAAAGCTATTTACATATTGCTATCGGCACTTACAATCAAAGAAAATTACCAAAAAGTGGTTAACATATGCAAAAACAGCCCTTACTGCTTAAGTAACGCAGTTATGGTGATAACATACTGCAAAAGGAGTTTTAAAGAGCATATAACATAAAAACTATAACTTGGATCTTGAATGTTTTTCCTCTCTTAAAATCTTAGTACATTTTTCTCAATATTGATTTTCTTGAAATGTTTTGGCTCATTTGGAGGCATGCAGCTTAAAGTGTGTTACATTAAAGAGTAATTTATATACATGTTGATCTGGTATTTACCAAATAATATAATTTCAATTTCCTTTTTTCTAGTCTTCCTGTCTCTTTCAAGTTGTTTTTCAATTTCTATATTGGCATCTGGTTTCCTGTTACAACAACAATATTTACTCATAGTTAATTAGTCCAAATAATTGTACAGCACGATCAGATTGAGACATAACTTTAATTAAGATCTACTCTTTACTTAAGTCCAAATATGATGATTTTAAAGAAATAGTATAGGACCTAAAATTGACCTGTGGTACCTCTGATTTAACCGGCAAGGTTTCAGATTAATTATTGTTGACTTTTACAATTTGTTCTCTGTTAGAGAGATATGACTGGAATAATTGTACAGAGTTTTCAGAAAAATGATAAAGTTTGATTTATGAATCAGTACATTATGGTCAAATAAATCAAAGGCTTTTTTATTATCTAAAATTACAGCACCTACTATTTTTACATCATCAATATTCGGAGACCACGCATCTTTAAAGCGGATCAAAGCTGCGTTTGTTAAATAATGCTTCATTCAACTTGTATAGAACAACTTGTTTATTAAAATTCTTGAATAAACGATGATTTATCGTTTTATGCGAAAAGCTTTTGCCTCCTTTCTTGTAACACAATTTATTGTAAACGACAATGGATAGTGATCGCTTAAGCTTAAATTAGAGACACTCAAACCATAACTATGGCTAAGGGAAGATACCTAAAAATGGTCAATTATAGTAGACGAATCTTTAGTTAATCCAGTAGGAGATTGGATTAATTGCTCGATGCCAAAATCTTGAACAATATGCGCCCATTTGTTATTATTAAAAATTGGTTGGGTATGAATAGTTAATGTTCATATCTCCAGTCACATACAAATCTAGATTATTAAATTCTGCTGTAATTGAATGCTGCTCATAGAAATCAATCAAAGACTGGTTACTGTTAGGTGGTCTGTAAAAGATATTTAACAATACAGATTTATTGTATGAAAAAAAATAGCCTCTAACCAAACAGATTCCACATTTTAAGTTTGCTACTATTTTTCGGAACATGAAATAGGAAAACAATAATCGATTAATACAGTTTAAAGGATTAAGCGGAATGAACCATTGCTCGTAGTGATATTACGTAAATGATATTTTCCGATTTTTCTTTGTACCAATTTGTTCACTTCGATGTTAATTTTTCGTTTAAGTTTAGTCGTATTTTAAAGCGGAGCATGCGCTCCAGTTCTAATGTTTAATGCTTATATGCTATGTATAAGGTTCAATTTGATAAGCAATAATAAGGCAAAGCCTCAAAGCGAGCTCTTTGAGAGAAATTACAGTTCAAATACATTTCACTATCATATTATATAGTAATCATAAAATGAGTGATAAAAACGAGCTGCCATCGGTTAGACATTTCAATATAATGACCATGAACATCGGCGGCTGCTCACTCTTTACCACATATTTTTTTTGTTTTAAAAATGTTATTCCGACGTTTGACGTAAATGACCAAGAAGTTGCGATTGTTTTATAGTGCAGCATCTTCCGTCTTCCTCGGTTATCAAGGACATTCTTAATAAAGTATATACTGAATGTTTACTGAACTATTCATACTGACCTTGACCGTCGTTTTGTGATAAAATTGTAGTAAACTTGGTAGATATGCTTATGCATACTAATATAAAAACATATTATTATTATATAAAGAAGGAAGTGTAAAATGATATAAGATATGATATTTCAATTATAATACAAAATGTCTTATTTTGTTCATATAACATTAAAAATGTACATAACAATAAGTCAATTATCATTTTCATTAAAACATATCGAGTTTATTATCTGAAACAGTTTAGTGATAATAAATTGTAAAATTCTTTATACGGCTATATCCAAAGCAGAGGTTTCAAAAAGTGTCTTATTAAGTCTGTAAGAAGACACGTTTAGATAACTGTTACTTATTGCAGCTAAAATATACAGACACGTTTAGAAAACTGTTACTTATTGCAGCTAAAATATACGGATTCCGGCGTTGGTTAATTAAATAATGGTTCTGGCTTCCAAAACTTTTTAGGCCGTTTTTTAAACACTTTTTGTTTATTCTGATGCGGTGTTAAACACGACCTGTCACGGTATAAAACGGATACGCTGAAGACCTTAAGCTAGATAAATGGCACCTAAACAAAATATTTAAAAGATGTAACTCTTTGACAAATAAATAAATAACACACGCACATAGGCACACGAACGGCGCACGTACACACTCTGTATTGTTATACATTATGACAAAAAATTCATTGCACAATAAACGTTTGCATAAATTTACGCGTTTGCATCGTTAACACGTTTCATAATACAGGTATGACCTTCACATAGCTGATGCTACATATTTATACCTTACAATAATAACATAATAGAATTATATGTGGTTTATTTGCTATGCAGTAGACGGTACCTGTATAAATTTTCTCTTTTGTGTTACACAATCATGAATGTTCTTATGCCACTGAAAAGTATTACACATGTATTTTATATTAATAGAGCATAGCTGTTAATTTAAGAACAAATAGAAGTGTTTAAGTTGAAGAAGACGAGTTTTTCAAATACAAATCCGCAACGGAGGAATAATTAAAGGATATATTAAAGTTGCCACAAATAAATATTTAAGATTTTTTTAAGGAACCCCTTAACAGACATCAGAATAATAAATCAGTTAAAATTTTATTTTATAAGTCTTTAGATTGAGTGTCTTATGTTTTTAATGTAGGTCTGGTCTTTCTCATATGCCTTGTATGTGTATATATAAGATTTGTTTACTCCATTTATGCTTCTTTTTTTTATTAATAGGGTTGATCTTCTATTAATGGTTGTTTTTATGAAAGCATCGTAAATCCCGTTCTTTTTTTTCAATAGGGTTGATCTTTCTGATGTAATTCTCGTTTTTTAATGAAAATCTTATTTTTTCGTGTAAGTCTTGTCTATTTCATTAAATCTAGTCTATCCAATTTATGACGGGTCGTTTATGTAGGTGTCGTCTATTTCATGTAGGTCTCATTTTTTCACGTATGTCTGACCTTTAATGTAGATCTCGCCTTTTATAAAGGTATCGTCATGTTCATGTAGGTCTCTGTTTATATAGTTCTCGTTTATGTATGTAGGTCCAGTGTTTTTCATGTATACATGTCTCGATTTTTTTCTTGTCTTTGTATGAAGGTCTCGATTTTTTCCCTGTAGGTTTAGCCTATCTCATGTAGGTGTATTACTGTGATCATTTGTGCCAAGTTGGAAATTGTTTTTAAACTTTTAATCAGTTTTTAAGTTATCGATTTGACCAATTAGTGTGACCTTGACCTTGTGGTAGCGGTCTGATTTTGCTCTCTGTATATTTTAAAAAACGTTTCATTAGTTTATAAGTTAGAGAGCGAGTGGGCATTAATAACGGAAGGTGAAGTCACATAACAGGTCTAACAGTTTAATTCATGTTTCATCCCGAGATCTCTGCATAAATTATAACTTTAAAACAGTATATTTTTTGCAGAATCATATAACAGAGGTAATTTATTCACCTACAAATTGTGAAACTTTATAATCCTCGCCATCCATTAATTTATGTTTAGCTGAACATGACTATTTTAAAGCTAATTTTGTTATACAAAAATGGAAGATATACGGTGTAATCGAATCGCCTTGACTAAACCCTCGTCTTACTGAAAAAATATGGATAAAAACCAATCTAAATAACATAAATGGCAGTATTGTACGTATAAAAAAGATATCTATTTCCTGAACATAGAGCTAAAATGAAATGCTAATCTTTTTATATAAATATTGAAGTATATATAAACTTTCCTGTCCTCTACTAAATTGTATTTATTTCTATATTTCAGCACAATGGATATATTTCTGTATTTCAGGAAAATGGATATATTTCTATATTTCAGCACAATGGATATATTTCTATATTTCAGCACAATGGATATATTTCTATTTTTCAGCACAATGGATATATTTCAGCACAATGGATATATTTCTATATTTCAGCACAATGGATATATTTCTATATTTCAGCACAATGGATATATTTCTATATTTCAGCACAATGGATATATTTCTATATTTCAGCACAATGGATATATTTCTATATTTCAGCACAATGGATATATTTCTATATTTCAGCACAATGGATATATTTCTATATTTCAGCACAATGGATATATTTCTATATTTCAGCACAATGGATATATTTCTATATTTCAGCACAATGGATATATTTCTATATTTCAGCACAATTGATATATTTCTATATTTCAGCACAATGGATATATTTCAGCACAATGGATATATTTCTATTTTTCAGCACAATGGATATATTTCTATATTTCAGCACAATGGATATATTTCTATTTTTCAGCACAATGGACATATTTCTATATTTCAGCACAATGGATATATTTCAGCACAATGGATATATTTCAGCACAATGGATATATTTCACCACAATTGATATATTTCTATATTTCAGCACAATGGATATATTTCAGCACAATGGATATATTACGGCACAATGGATATATTTCTATATTTCAGCACAATGGATATATTTATATATTTCAGCACAATGGATATATTTCTATTTTTCAGCACAATGGATATATTTCTATATTTCAGCACAATGGATATATTTCAGCACAATATATATATATCAGCACAATTGATATATTTCTATATTTCAGCACAATGGCTGTATTTCTATATTTCAGCAGAATGGATATACTTCTATATTTCAGCACAATGAATATATTTCTATATTTCAACACAATGGATATATTTCTATATTTCAGCACAATGGATATATTTCTAATTTTCAGCACAATGGATATATTTCTATATTACAGGACAATGGATATCTTTCTATATTTCAGCACAATGGACATTTTTATATATTTCAGCACAATGGATATATTTCAGCACAATGGATATATTTCAGCACAATGGATATATTTTACCACAATGGATATATTTCTATATTTCAGCACAATGGATATATTTCTATATTTCAGCACAATGGATATACTTCTATATATTTCAGCACAACTGATATATTTCTATATTTCAGCACAATGTATATGTTTCTATATTTCAGCACAATGGATATATTTCAGCACAATGGATATATTTCTATATTTCAGCACAATGGATATA